ATCTATCTTCTGAATAAAGAATGAAAAGTGTGACAAAGACGACCTGGATGATACTTCATGGATGATGCAAGGGGATGAAGAGAACGTAGCATTCCTTCTTTTCGTGTCACTTAAATTGTCGAAACTTTGCATAAATTCGAGTTAATTATACAGTATGCAAATCAGGCAGTCGATCACGATAGATCGCTTTTTACATTTCTGTCCGTATCTCATGAGCTTTACAGGGAAAAGCTGGTTGGCTTCGGTAGGTGTTGATGTCGTCTGTAGAAGTTGGTTCGTCTTCAGGTGCAAGACAGATCCGCACCATAACGCTCATAGTGGCCTACTATCCGATTAACTGTCGGTTTTGGCGTTGTGTATAAATAGATCGTTTTCGTGTTGTCTGAGTATTATTACCAAAGTACGGATGCAATACACTTTTAATTTGCTACAACAGGAAATTCGACCAAATAACGTTGTTCGATCATGTTCATCCATTCACGCTCTCAAAAGAAACATTTCTCACTGTCATGGAGTGCTTCAAGCGTTTTGCTTTTGTCTTTTACGCCACGCATGGTAAAAGCAAGATTCCCTCATTGCTTTGTATTGCCACTTGCCATATACATGCTTACGCGCGTCGATCCACTCACCGCTGTCGATTTAACAGTTCACGCCAGCCTCCTGGTTTGAGGCGCAGTGGCACAGTGGCAAAGAGGCCAGCTTCGAACTCTGGAGATGCCGGGTTAGATAGAATTTTCAGAAAGACGATACATGTAGTAACCGCAAATTCTTTTAATTGAAGCAGCCAAAGAACGTGTAGTAAGTCGCTTATGCGAACAACAGGTGAGGTGTGGTCATACCAGGACAGGTAAGAGGTACAGTGATACTGTGCGATGTTAACACCTGATAGGGCTACATAAGAACATAGAGCAATATTCGCGTTGACCCACTTGAAAGACGCATATTCGAGGAAGAACTTTAATCTGAAATGACCCTCAGTTAAGTATAAACTTCCACTTCATTGTGAACCGATGATTTTCAGTTTGTTCTGTAGTACACACGGCATCGAACGGCTGAAAAGTAGACAGACGCTATCTACCATAGCAGTAAACGTGACTTGACTATTCAATATGATAATCAACAGAAGGTATAGCGCTTGTTTTTGCTGTAGCTGTTTATTTCGATCAATTTCTTCCCAAA